TACCATTTTGCAGTTTGCAATAGTTAACGAGATATTAATTATATATATTAAAAATTGTCAAATATTAGTCTTGAATTTTTTACTCAAATATTATTAACTTTATAGAAAAACCGCAAGAAACAAAAATCATTTATTGGGTTCTCCGGAAAGTTCGTGCCGATGTTGAAGGAAAATTGAAACACAGAAAATTTTAATTTAATAAATATATACTAAAATTTAAATTTTAGTCGGCACGAACTTTCCGGACAACCCAATATTTTCTTCATAGAAATTCTAAAAATTTTTTCAGAATTTTTTATCAACTTTTTAGTACTGCATTTTCTTATTTTTACCAACATGAGAAAATACAGTATTAAAAAATTCAGAAAAAATTCTCAGAACTTTATGAGAAGAAAATAAATGATTTTTGTCTCTTGCAGCTTTTCTATAAAGTTGACAGTATTTGAGTAAAAAATTATTCAAGATCAACATTTAGCAATTTTTAGTAATTAATATCTTGTTAACTGTTACGAAAATTGCAAAATGGTAGAGGACTTTTCGACTCAGTTCGATTCACTCTACCTGCTCATGATGTGACGAAATATGTAAAATCACCTGTATATATATACATCTCTCTCTCTCTCTCTCTCATGCTGTTTGCATCTTCCTCCATCTCTCTTGCCGCATCAAGATGCATCCGCATTACTCGCGCGCACATTGCAGCTCGATGCCGCGCTGCATCGCGCTACGCATACATTGCTCGCGCGTAGCACACGCCGCTCCTCTCCTCTCCTCTTTTCTCTTCGCCACTGCGATCTCCCTCCGCGAGCGATTCGCCCCACCAGTACTCGCGGCTCCTCGCGACGAGGAAGAGGTGGACGAGCTTCGGCCACTTGGTGAAGTTTACTCGTGTTCTCGTCCTAGTACTAGTTCTGCCGCAATCGTGTCCGCACGCGAGATTCACGCTCGCGCGACGCTTCCTCGCTGTAAAATTCTTCCTCGTGGCGAATTCTTCAGCGAAAATCGGGAAGAGAAAGTTTTCAGAATCTCAGGCGTTGATGTTCCAGCCGCTTTTTACCAGGTTCGTTCGCGTCGATCGACTTTTCCGGCCGAGCGTTGAAAGTCCGAAAATGAGAAACGAAAGGATGTCGTGAATCGTGCTTTCAATGGCGACACGCAGCCGTTTATTGGTGTAAAAGAACGTTCTCGCGTGGGAAAGTTGAATGAACTTCTGGTGCAGCTGCTGCCGTTGCTCTCTGCGTTTGGCACGTTCATTGTCCCTGACCTATCCCGAGGGGGGGGGGGGTCTGGAATTTTCAACCTTGAGTGCCCGATCGTGATTCGCGAGCGTGCAGCCCGTGTAGCCGGCGAGTGAAGTTTGTTCTTCGGCGTGCACCTGGTGACAGTGATCTAGTAAAGTGTCCAAGGTTTCATACCGGATCAGTCCTTGAGATTGATCTCGATGGCGCTCGGGACAGCGCAGCTGATGATTGTTTAAACGTCGCAGTTCTTTCGTTTTGTTTCATTCAAGTGGATTAATTTAAATGGCTATCAATCTATGGACTTTGATCTACGGACTACGTTATTCCACTCTCGCCACCTGACATTTGTCGCGACATTCGTCTGATACGAGTAGACTCGCATGTTTTTGTCGTTATTTTTATCTTATAGATGTTTATAGAAGTTTGAGAATTTAATAAGCCTTCCACTGATAGTGGAAGTCAGCTTGTGGGTGACCTCGCGTAAATTTCAGACAGATGCGCGTTGGTTAATCGAGACGATTTATCTCCCAAGCGGTTTCGCAATTTCTTTTAGAAGCGTCACGTTTATGGTCCATTTTGAGAATCGGGCTCCGTCTCCGGACGACGATAAATAGTTGGACGAGTAGTTGTAATTAATTCCGCGCACGTGATAGTGATACTCGGTCGTAGTCTCGGTGCAGTTTTATGATCGTGCGATGCGCTCGGACGTGGGACGCATAAGTGCGTTTTTGCCGTGCCGGCTGTATAAGAATGCGCGAACCGGTCGCGACTCGAAACATAATTTTATACACTAAAGCGAATGTTTTGCTATTAATTAATGCTAACGTAATAGAACTCGTAACTTTAAATTTGCATCGGTCTGTTTATTACAGGAGCATATCTGTACGTACAATTCCAATGACGCAGGCGTCAAAAAATTAATATCTTGAATAATGAATTACATCTCTAAATACTCGTTATTCAAAATATTTATCTTTTTTTATTGCAAATAAACGTATCAATTCTTTCTTGTCACTACGGGAACAACACTTGAGTATGACATGCCAGGCCAATTCAATTGTTAAATTTTCATAAAAATAAACATATTGTAAATAATTTCTTTTAATCAAAATGTCAGACAAAAGGCCCAGTTTTTTATTTTCTAGTTAACTTACGATTTTAAATTAACTTTATTTAATTTGATGTTTATGTATAAAAATTATTTTTTCAGCTATGATTAATCAACTAAATTGATTTTAAAAGTTACTGCAGACCATCATTGCAGTTTTTTGACTAGCTAGGAAAAAACAATTTTTACATTATTATCAGATTAAATCTGACCAAAAGTTAACCAAAAAATGGAAAACTGAAATATAATACTAACAATATTGATTACAGTATTATATTAATTATAATAAAAAGGCTTTGAGAGTGAACGCAAAAAGCAGTTTTTAATTAACATTTTTTTTTCGAAGAGTCATTTTTGATTTTTAATTGTTTTAATTGTGAATAACGATACTAAGCAAATGTATGTATTTTTATCAATAAAAAGGGCAAAGGCAAAGGCATTAAAAAAATATTAGAAAAAAAAGTCTGCTCATGTCATACTGAAAAGGCGTTTAAAAATTAACAATAAATGAAATACAAGAAACTCTGAAGAAGCTATCTGAAACTTGAGAAGTATACTTGAGAAGTATACGACGACTGGTGTCCTAATTACCGCGTTCCTTCACGTACAATAGCATTAAGATAAGTTTAAGAGATACGTTAGCTCGCGCGACGTTAATTATAATATAATAATACGCACATGCGTACGCATATAAGCGAAAACTAAAATCATTACTGTCTTGGTTGTGCAGGTCTTAGTGCTGATTCACCGCGGAGACTGCAAGGGCGGACATCATTATCGGTGAGTAACGATTACTCATGTTAACGAAGAATTTTTTTTGTGATCAAACTTGCGTTTCATGAATCGCTGTTTGGTACATGTATTTCTTTGCGACGTGGATGACTCGAACAAAAGAGATTCTCAGGAACGCCTCTATTACGCTGCTATGTGGAAACGAGTCGCGCTCTGAATGGGATTGCGATTAGCGAAAAGCGGGTCGCGACGTTTTCGCCTGGTGGCCGCGAAAGGCGAAGGCGAAAGCAAAGCCGGTGCAAAGCAAAACGGTCCGTGCACGAAGAAGGGTTAGGGAAGAGGGAAGAGGGACGAGGCAAAGTGGTCAGACTGGTGTAACAGGACGTTACCCTCTGGTTGCATACAGCAAGGGCAGGATACGATATTGTTATTGCGCCTTCCTTCATCCTTCGTGCACGGTTCTCTCGGATCTGCTGCAGCCAGTGGTTCCCAAACCTTTCTAGCTTTTGGGAATTTGTTGAAGATTGTTTTCCTTCACTGAGAGAAACGATTTTGTTATAGGAACAAATCAAAGGAAAGCAAATGTGATATTTGTTAAAAAAAAACGATCTATTTGTTACGATTGCAAATTAATTCCTCAATAACAAATAATAACAAA